ATTCATGATTACATCACAGGTTTCATGATATTTGGTGTATTTTCTTAAAGCTCAGCTCTGGGAGTCATTCATTACATGAGAATCTCAGCTTTCATTTTAAAAATTAAGTTTCTAACCCTCATAGTTGTGGAGACAATCTTGACAGCAATTATTTCAGTAACCGGGTTTGGTTCTTTAAAGAATTTGAAACCACAGACAGAGGAATACTTCTTTTTAAGGTCAAACAAAGATTTTTTATTTTTTCTATTTACTTTATAATTAATTTTCAATGTAAATCAATTCACTATTTTTTATTCTTTTAAGACAATATAATATACAAAGAAAAAGCAGAAAAACAGTACAGTTTAAAAAAAACAAGAAATAATAACTTCTCGTACAGATATACCCTCCTGATTTACCTTTAAACAATTTATGGAGTTAACAAATATATAATACTTACATTAAGAAAGATAGAAGCATTGCTTAGATTCAGGAGTAATTCTTTTCTTTATGTTTTTCCTTTTTTTGGATTTTTTGTTGCAACTTACGACCGGTGTTGTTCCCCTTTCGGAGCTTATGTGCAGCAGCGAGATTCAGCGCCGGGGAGGGAGCTCTGGTTGATCAGACCTAGCTTTTTGGATTCGCAACCCGTCCACTCTTGGTCTGTTCCATCCAACCTTATATACCCTGTTTCGGTATTTTGGTACTCCTCCACTCGCCTGACAATTGCTGATGTTAGATTTTTGTTGTCTCATTCTGCCCTTACAAAAACTTTCGTCTGCTCCATTTGGGGTAATCAGCACTTTGTTGCATACTGCCGTCTGAGTTACTTACTTCCCTAAAAGCGGGGTTATTGTTGGTCATCCAATCAAATTTTGTTTTTATTTTACATCTCCTGTATCTCACGATGCTGCCTTTCCTTTACACTTACATTTAAACTGGTGCTCATTTGACATATTCTGGGTAGGCCTCAATACTTTCCTTTCACAAATTCCAAGAAAGGCTCAAAAAAACAGAAAGCAAACAACCCCCACACCTTGCATTTATTATTTTTAAAATGTCATGACTTTTGAACACGTGGGGTTAGCAATAATGGGAAAGAGGCAACTGTTCAATATTTCTTATTTTCCTTCATCTTTTACGATGTGTCCCTTTCTCTTATTTAATGCACACCACCCCTGTCATGCATTATTTATTCTTATTTATTTCTTTATGTATTTTTGTGCTCATCTGTATAGTAGCTGAGCCTCACAAATACTAATAAAAAGCTCTCCACATTTATACTATGAAATAAGAAAGCACCATTATTCCCAATTTAAAGATGGGGAAGCTGAGATTGAGACTTGCCTGAGCTTGAGGTCACAAAGCGTATCAATGGCAAAACAAGAATTAGAACTCAGACATTTCTTAATTACCCAGTCTGTGCACATGTCTCCAAACCACACAGTATTACTGCCAGTGCCAGATGTTCCATATGCCCACAACTCCCATTGATCTTGTGAGCACTCAGCACTACTATGAATCAGGCTCCAAGCTGGCCTATCTAAATTTGGGCATTCAGAAAATAAGGAATGCACTGTTAGTGGCCACCTGATAATATTCTGGTTTAAGTAACTTGCCCAACATCATATAGGAAGCTTGAGGCAGAAGCAGGGGTGGGACTGAGCTCTCCTCTACAGTATTAACTTGCCTAAGCCACAAGACCATCTTGTCTCTTTTTGCAGCCCGTCCTTCCTCATAATCTTTAAATGTAGGGTTATCATATTTGAATGTTCAAAAAAGAGGACACCCCTAAGAGGGAATGTATCTGTATCAGTATCTACCAATGTGTTACATTAATATAATATAATATAATTATAATTAATTAATACATATATATTCCCTCTCGGGGTGTCCTCTTTTTGAAAGTTCAAATATGGAAACCCTATTTAAATGTCTTCTAATTTCGGGGAAAAAATGGCAGGGATCTTACAAACAGCTTCATTCACTGCACAATTGTGATTCCTTCCTTCAGCACTGGACCTTCTGTGTGCAATGATTAAGAATATCACATAGTGTTTTCTGAGGGTTTTGTTCTCAAATGGTGCTTAGCTCTTTAGAGTTCTTTGGTCTTGCCCCCTCAATTTACCTGTCACTTTCAGAACTCCATGTACTGATTGATCTCCCGATCTGATCCTCTGACCCAGCGTTTCCCAATTTTATTTGGCCACGGAGCCCTTTTCAGCTTAAAAGAATTTCAAGGAACCCCTAGGGTTACCAGAGTAAAATGTGTTAAGAAATAAATAAATAAATAAATAAAGATCCACCGTGTTAATAAATAAATAAATAAATAAAGATCCACCAGAACTGGTCGAGCAAAAAATAAATAAATAAATAAAAAAAGCTGCAAAATAGACTGTGTCTTTAAGAGAGGACAGGGGAGTGCCAAAAATAGACTTGTGTCTTTAAGAGAGGACAGGGGAGTGCCACATTCTCACGGAACCCTTTCTTTTGCTTTGTGGAACCCTGGGGTTCCGCGGAGCACCAATTGGGAAACACTGCTCTGACCAATAGACAGCTTCTTCTGTTATTGTAACATGTGTAATACTGTCTTACTTATTAGAGCATTTATCAGGAAACTGCAAGTAAAACACCAGCACACACAAGCTGCACTTAATTTCTTCTTAGACTCCAGACCAGACTGGATACAGGCCATCCTCACTATAAGTCCAAGATACGTTCCAAAAAAACCTTGGACTTATAGCAAAACTTAAAACGGGGAATTTTTTTCTCCCGCGGCTGACTTTCATTTATGCAAAAAAATTTTTTTTGCATGACTTAAGAGCAGGGAATGGAAGGACTTATAATGTATCAGTTCCTATAAGCGTCAACAACTTTAGTGTGGAACGGATGTATACCAGGGTGACTTATAGCGGGAACGCCTTGTACAACAACATCATATGAAAGCAAGTCAAGAATTTAAATAAAGGATACCTTCTGATGGAGGGGCTGTCGACACTGATCATTACACATGGGCTGTGTCTAGACTGGCCAGTTTTTCCAGAAAATCAGCCGCTTTTCCGGAAAAACTTGCCAGCTGTCTATACTGGCTGCTTGAATTTCTGCAAAAGCACTGACTTCCTACTGTAAAAAATCAGTGCTTCTTGCGGAAATACTATGCTGTTCCCGTTCGGGCAAAAGTCCTTTTGCGCAAAAGGACTTTTGCCCGAACGGGAACAGCATAGTATTTCCGCAAGAAGCACTGATTTTTTACAGTAGGAAGTCAGTGCTTTTGCAGAAAAGCGTCTGTGCCAATCTAGATGCTCTTTTCCGAAAATGCTTTTAACGGAAAACTTTTCCGTTAAAAGCATTTCCGGAAAATCATGCCAGTCTAGACGTAGCCATGGTATCTGGTCCTGTAAGAGCATGCAGGGGTGGCCTCTCAAGACACCTAGACCTAGCACTTCACTAACTTCTTGATAATGCTCTGATTTGGCAATTGGCCCTGGCCTGTCTTAAGTCTTGACTTCACTAGGAAAGGCAGGCTGGCTTCCCTCACCCTGATCAGCCAGCGTGCTAGAATTACAACTGCCTTGGCTGCATTTGGGTATCAGCACACACACTGACATGGTGCGCTGACATACGCTTCCAATCCCCCTTTCTCCCGAGTGGAGACGTGTCCTGAACAGGCGTGGAGCCCCTGGAGTCCCTGTCGGGCGCCTCGCCCTTTCAGAGCGTGCAGGCTAAGCCCTGGCGGGCCCCGGGATGCTCTCTTGGCGGCCTGCTCCTTTAAGAGCCGCCGGAGCGGCGCAGGCGGGCGGGGCACGTCTCGGGCTGCGTGGCCCTTTAAGAGCCCAGTTGTGGCCTTTGAAACCTCGCTCCGGGGGACTGGGCTACACGCGAGCCCGTTCCGAGCCCGGCTGGGCTGCTCCCTGGCTCC